GGTAACGGGGTCTACTTTTTAATTCTATGTGGAAAACTGGAGCACCTTAGGATAAGCTTATGATTTCACGTTTGTGTATTCTCTACGTCCCCAGGTTTTTGAGTCTTCATTGCCGCTATATGAAAACGACCAACCACTAAAATCATATCCAATCATTCCTGGACTAATGAAGAAGAACAGTGCCAACATGGGGGATGGAAAATTAGTTGATAGGTGAGCCTGAGTTGTCCTCTATGCACCAGCAAAGCTTTTTCAAAAAAAATAATAAAGTAATCCGGTAAAAAATAATTAAATATATTTCAAAACTTTGGACTTATGTCTATACATTGGCATCTATCTTTCCTTCAAAATGAATATGTCGGTCTATTCTCTGTGCAGTAGGTATTTCGATAGTAATGGTATTCTCTATACTAACATAAGGGAATCGAACAAACCACTAAAGGGTTGGTTAACTCCATGGGCGAAACTCGTCATTCGATTTTAAATCTATGCATCCCATCAAAGGAAATCGACCGCCAGTTGCCCCTCTCAACGGTACACCTACGTGAAAAAGGTGGATCTTGGCAAGAAGTACCCTGACAGTTCTGATAAAGAGGATCAGAAGGACGGAAGTGTCTCTCTTCTTCAATCTTCGGAGATGGAACCTAGATTCCCTCGGATGATGGGAACATCAGACACAGGTGGACCACTTTTTTACTTCCAGAAAGACCTAAAGGTTGCTGATAATGATTTTGACGAGGAGCTGAGGACAGCGGCAGTACCGGGAGAAGAAGGGGAACAGGAACCGGATTTCGATGCCTCCTATTTCTCTCGTGGCGATACACCTAGTCCTGCACCGTCAGTTAGCGTTCCTTCCTCTTCTTTCGTTTTTTCCGGCTTCTCCAAATGGGCTGATGGTATAGAAAGGGAGGATGAACAAATTCGTGGAGGGCGCAGAGCGGTATGTCGAAACCGTTCATCACGCTCTAAATTTACACATGGTGCTTACGCTCAAACCATTTCCCAAGATGGGAGAGCGGATAGTGCCTTACTTCGGACAAGCGGATCATAAAGTGCTTTCACTGTGATTGATGTGATTTACA